AAAAAGAAAAAAAAGAGGGAAAATGCCATAAAAAATTCTACTGTAGATCATTCAAGGAAAGATCATGGACAATGGGAACTCAGCGTATAGTCAGTCTATCTTCCCTATCAGACTAGGAAGTAGCCATTCTGCCAGGCACTCCCCTCTGGGTCTTCCTGCAGGCCTTTCTAGTGGATGCCGAATAGTGGTGACAACAACTCTATGAGCTTCTGTCCCTCAGGTACTCTGTAAGAACACTGGACCCCTACAGACAACTTCTTACAGGCCAGAGGATCTACGCCAATGGTTGCACACATGTCCTGGAACTGCACGCGAAACTCAGGATTCTTCCGGATCTCCTGCTTGTGCTTGCTGGCAAATTCTTCCAGGTTTGTCTTGAACATGTCCAACTGCTTTGACATCTGTTGGATGGACAGGGAGTGGTTAAGGGCAGCCCAGCAAAATGATAATCGGATGCCAAAAATAGGTCCCTAGCCCTGTGGCATGGCAGTGCCTGAAAAAACCAGTCTCCCTCTGCCTACCATTATGCTGTTTACGGTCTCTCTCTCTTTATCCCTGCCTCTCCTTCACAGTTCTACTGTCATCAGAAATGAGATGCTGTACTGTTTTCTCGCTTTCAAAATATACTTTTTCATGTGTTCCTGTTCTAAAATCAGGATGCATTTAATAATCAAGGCACACATATATACAACCAAATACATGCACAAAAAAAGACAAAGGTGTATATACAATGTGGTATTCCTTTGTTCTCAGAAAAAATGTTATTAATTTGAAGGTGTACCTAATAATTCATTTTATCTTAGAAATGAGGAAATGCAGTGTTCACCCATTAGAATATCTTTACCCCCTGACAAAAAGGCTGAATGGGAAAAAAATGAAGTATAGCATGAACCTGTTTAACCTTTTGGGTCTAGCCGGGAATGGAGGCTCATGCCTGTAATCCCACAATGGATCACTTGGCCCCAGGAGTTCCAGATCAGCCTGGGCAACATAGCAAGACTCTATCTCAATCAATCAATCAATATATGTTATTTTATTTTTTTTGAGACAGAGTTTCACTTTGTTGCCCAGGCTTGAGTGCACTGGCGTGATCTCAGCTCACTGCAACCTTTGCCTCCCAGTTCAAGTGATTCTCCTGCCTCAGCCTCCCAAGTAGCTAGGACTATAGGCACGCACCACCACACCTAGCTAATTTTTGTGGGTTGTTTGTTTTTTTTTTTTTTTTTTTGAGTCGGCGTTTCGCTCTTGTTGCCCAGGCTGGAGTGCAATGGCGCAATCTTGGCTCACCGCAACCTCTGCTTCCTGGGTTCAAGCAATTCTCCTGTCTAAGCCTCCCTAGTGGCTGGGATTACATGCCCATGCCACCATGCCCGGGTAAGTTTTTGTATTTTTAGTAGAGACGGGGGGTTCACTGTGTTAGCCAGGATGGTTTTGATCTCCTGACCTCATGATCCACTGGCCTTGGCCTCCCAAAGTGCTGGGATTACAGGCATGAGCCACTGCACCTGGCCAATAATATTTTTCAAAGTTCATAAATATGAGGGCTCAGTGCAGTGGCTGACGCCTATAATCCCAGCACTTTGGGAGGACAAGAAAGGCCAATCGCTTAAGCTCAAAAGTTCGAGACCAAACTGGGCAACATGGTGAAACCTCCTCTCTACAAAAAATACAAAAATTAGCCAGGTGTGGTGGCACCCCCAGCTACTTGAAAGGCTGAGAGATGAGAATCGCTTGAATCCAGGAGATGGAGGTTGCAGTGAGCCAAGATGGTGCCACTGCACTCCAGCCTGGGCGAGAGTCTTGCTGCAGCCTTGACTTCCCAGGCTCAAGCAATCCTCTGACCTTAGGCGCCTAAGTAGCTGGATGATGGACACATGCCACCACACCTGGCAAATTTTTATAGTTTTTGTAGAGATGGAGTCTCGCCATGTTGCCCAGGCTGATCTTGAACCCCTGGGTTCAGGTGAGCCACCTGCCTCGGCCTCCCAAAGTGCTGGGATTACAAGCATGAACCACTGTGCCTGGCCAAAGTTAAACACTTTTTTTAAAAAGAGGGAAAATGCCGGGCGCGGTGGCTCACGCCTGTAATCCCAGCACTTTGGGAGGCCGAGGTGGATGGATCACGAGGTCAAGAGATCGAGACCATCCTGGTCAACATGGTGAAACCCCATCTCTACTAAAAATACAAAAAATTAGCTGGGCATGGTGGCACATGCCTGTAATCCCAGCTGCTCAGG